TTCTTATCCTAGTCACAAATTTTAGGATAAAAAACTCCGAAAAATTAATGATTTTTTTTCCTTCGGTTTTAATAATTTTTTATTCGAATATTTTTTTTAAGTTATTTAGGTCTGTCTGTCTTGCTTGAAATCCCCCTAAATTTTTAAAGTGATGTGATTAGAAAAATAGATTCGGGCGTTGAAAAAAAAAGAAAGCACAGATGCTGAATGCAAAGAATGCAAGCAACGCAAACTTATTAATCAATTACTATTTCAACTATTACTTTAACTTTATCAATTTATCAAGAATTGCAACAACTAATAATACATATTTCTGCTTCAATATAAAATTGTAAAGACAAAAATATTAAAAAGTATCGCGAAATAACAAGAAAAATGAATTCTATTTCTTCTACATATTTAACAATTCTATATTTTTTTATAAAGTTTATGTGATTTGAAAAATATTTCAAATATATTTCAAAAATATCGTTTTTTACAGTAAAAAACTAAGTTTTTTACTTGATATTTTTCTCCGAAATCAAAAGTACCCTTTTTTTACATCTCTAATCCTCATGCAGTTTGTTATAAGATTAATTATATAAAACAAATTATTCTAATTTAAGTTTAGCCTCTGAAAAGATTCTTATTTAGAGTTAATTTATTTAATATGTAGTATTTATTTTCGTAATTATTTTACAAACTAACATACAAAACTTATATTTTAATTATACCTATAGAAAATAAAAATAATATAAAAATGAGATAAATACATAAAAAGTATCTATTATGTACATCCTTATTATAGCAATGGATGGGAATCAATTTTACTATGGATATACTCATGAATTTGCTGATATAGTTTACTATCTCCTTACCGCGTATGCAGAATTCTTCGATGTTTGTGGCGATTTATTAATTACTACAAGCTCAATTTAGCGATCTTTGTGTCAGTCATTAAATTATTCGTATACTTTTCGCGAAACAGTCTAAATATAAATCTAAGTATATTTTTTCATGATATTTGTGTTAAATATTCTTGTATATCTTTCATAATTATCAATTGTTATTCTTTATTATATTATAGAATCCTTTATTATATTTTTAAATCATCAATACAACAATGATTTTTTAACTCTTAAATTTGAACATACATAATAATATTATTTTACATAAAAAAATAATATTAATTAGAATAATTTATATAAATATATTGTTTTTTTATTTTTCTTTGCGAATATGTAAATATGTTGATATGTAAATATGTAAATATCTGTTTTCTATGGTTTTCATTGATTTATATCAGCACAACTACCAAATTTAAAGAATTTAACAAAAAGACAATCTTAGCAAAAGAAATGAAAAAATAAAAATCGGTAAGAGAGCGAGAGAATTTTCGATAAAAAGAGATCTCATTCTGTAATGTAATAGATTCGAAAATCATTAGATGATCTTTTAACAGATCTTTCGACCGATCTAAAGCCGTTTTCTTTTTGGCAAAAAATATTTAAAAAGCTCATTTATTTTTTTTTCTCGTAACTCTTCTCAATCTGTAACGTTATATATGTCCACAGTTAAGATTTAAATTAAAATTTCACTAAGACAAAATCCACTTTGACTGAAAAATATAATTTTGTTGTCCATTTGCACTTTAATAATCTGAGAACCATTATGATCTTCACTTAATTACTCAGAAATTGCTTAGACAGCTTCTTATTGAGGAAAGAAATCTCTCCAAATTGATCGAAGAATCCACGGTTAAAAAGACATTCGGTGATTCGAGACACCCCGTACAGATGCCTCGTTCACTCGAGTAAATTGGATGCTGGCGTTCGCGCGGTTTATTACAATAGAAAAAGGAGGTGTACATAGGCATCATTAAGAGGGTGCCAGCCGCAGAAGATTCGTTGATTCTCGCCGAGAGGGAACGCTCGGGGATGTTGAAAACGAAATACGAGAGATGGAAATCCTTGACCTCTCTCCCTTTCTCGACATTAAAGAATCGACGATTCCTGGATATCGCAGGATCTTTCGATCGCGAAGGCAGAGGAGGCAATAAGAATCATCATTGAGATAAGATGCCTCATATTCCTTGCTGCTGAAATTAGCGGCAATGGCGGCATTCGCCGGATCAATTTGCGTGGTAATTATAGCTCGGGGAAAATCAGGCGGCTCGAACGTTAATCTAAAAGCATTATGGAATATTCGTCGATTACGACGGAATGATCCGTAATGCGTCACGATATTGATAGCAACGGAATTGATATAAATATGCTGTATTTTGATGTCGATAACGATCGAATACAATAACGGAATTTACAACTATAATTGAATTTTGATATTGAAGAAATGTATTTTTAAAAGTTTATTTTCATTTTTTGTTCTTCTTTTTTTCTTTTCCTAAAATGTTTATTTCTCTTCAAAAAGAGAAACACAATATTAAAGAACTTTTTTAAAACTTATTGTTGTAGTAAAATTTTGATGAGATTTTAAGTGCGCTGTAAATTAATATAGTTTTATTTTTACGAAAAAATTTTGTAATTCGAACACGAAGTACAATTTTGTCTTTCGAACATTTAATTCCGTGCAACTATGATTTGTCATATCGTAGAACGATTAATTGCATCGAATAAATGCTCCCTAAACATACGTCTATTTAGGTCATCAATTAGCGCGAATTCTGGTTAATTGAATTTTCTTTGTTCCGTGTTTAATATTACGCGGCATTTCAATTTCAGAAAGGAGCAATCATTAATGTTTGAAATTAATTAACTCGCGATTTTCATCTTCTTTCTGGAACGAGCATATCTCTGTCATATAATATGAAAATATAATACGCGTACCAATGAAATAATATTTAAAAAAAAAGCCAGCTTCTTCTATTTCTCCATTTTATATTTCTCCATTCTTGAGATCGGCGACACTCGTCGCGTCGCCATAAAGATTCGCACATGTCGCATAATTTCAACAAAACAAAGGACAGGTGTACGGAGGACGACCTCCCGGTACGACGGGAGGTGCAACGAACTTCGGACTGCTGATCGCGACTTCTGACAGCAGATAGTCGGCCCTTTCGCTCACACCTTTTAGGGATAAAAACGTTCATAATGCTGGAATGCGGGAGCGAAAAGGGGATATTCCCGGTCGACGGGAGAGCTTAATAATGCAATATGGCGTCGGGGCGTCGCGACGCTATGCATGCTATGCCGCGCATACCGCTACCATATACGCCTACACATCGAACCCTCTTGCGCTCCCACATTGTCCCCCTTATCTTACATCCCCTCTTTACTCCATTTGATTTCCTCCTGAGAACGAGGCCGTACCTTCGCGTATATATCGTCGCAATCGAATGTTGATTGGAAAATATTGATGGGACTTTCCACCCGGTATCCGCAGCCATCGAGCCCTTCTTTCTTCTTTTGCTTTCCATCTTCGACATCGGAAAGGATTCTTTTTCCATCGCGGTACGCTCTGGAATTTCAGATCGGTGAAATCGAGATATATATTTTATATCTTGAAGCTATAAGACTTTCGACGGATGACATTCCGGCACCGATATTAATTAGCGCAAATTATAGCCGCAATATAAAAGCAATGAGATGGGAGTTAGTAATTAAGAACTTAGTTAACAAAGGATTTGATATAGCTATACTGAGAAATTGATATCGACATCTCGAATAATTGAACTAAAGAAGGTCATTTTAATTTTCGGAATGAATTTTAATTTCGGAAACATTTTAAATTTCAGAATCGATGATCATAATAGAAATTTTTAATAGAATTCAAATACTTAGATTTTAATTCTTTTCCATATCGAATGAAATTTTGAGATGACACGACAAAATTGTTCTAAATTGTTTTTATGTCCATATTAATAAATTCATATAAACCTCTAATTTATAAAATATAACCATAATTATTTAAATATATATAATTATTTAATAATTATAATTATTTAAATATAT